TGAAATGAAAAGACTTTTTAAGCTCTGTGAGGAGCAATTCAGTAAGATTTACTCAACTGTGCTGAAAACCTGACATTCTGAATGTTCTTAACAGACTGAATATGTTTCTCATGATCCTTAGCGTGTAAAATCGGACTTGGAATTATAGTCAGATTTTTTTTTATTTTTATGGAACAGTTTACTGAACCTTTTTTGAGTATCATATTTGATACATCAGGCTTTTATGGCTCATATAACATGATATTGTTATAATAGACTATGGAGTAAAAAACAGCTTAATTTTATTTCAGAGACTCAAACTGAGCAAAATATGCAATTTGGTGTAATTTACATGATCAAAAAAAATCTAATGCTTGTAATGTAAATCAATGAGATCTTTCTGACAGTATAGTGGATACTTACATAAAATTATATAAATATCAGTGGTCACTCTATATCTTCAATAATGTCTTCGTAAGATGAGAGTGAAATGCTCCAAACATATAATGCAATGCTGATTGAGAGCTGAAGAAATAAAGGCTCCTCAGAAGATGTGAGATGTTCTGGAGGCTTGTGAAGATCATTCCTCCGCTGAGGAACAGTGAAAGTAAAGCTTCTGGAAACAAACGCTCCTCAAAAGATCCTGAGGATCAGATTTGAGACTCTAAAACATGATTGATGGAGAATCAAGTAAAGCTGAGCTGCTTCAGTCCAATAAGTGTTCATCTGGAGATATTACTACAGTTATTCTTACATTAACCTGATAAAAACCAGTAAACATTTGACAGCAGAAAGACACGTGAGGCACCAGCTGGTGGACGTTGTACAATTACACTAAAACTGACATTTCCTTGATTACAAAGTCAGTCAGATGACAGAAGGCATGGAGCAGATGGATTTTCAGCAAAATCTTTATCATTTACAGGCCTTGCAGATTTGTGTATCAAATATGATACATTAGCTTCATAGGGTTAAAAACCTAAAGGCTTCTTTTTAAAAAGGTTTGTGTACATTTGTTTCCAGAAAAGAAAAGAGAGTTGTGAAACATATCGTATCTGCTGCAACAAACACGCAAAGCTGTTATCGAAATATTGTCTGTGGTTTCTGAAAGATGTTTGACTTCACCTGTTCATCTGGAAGAAATGCAAAATAAACCACTGCTATTAAAACACTTGATGTAAAGAGGAAATGGCTCACCTAAAAGGAAAGTTCTGTCATTATTCACTCACTTACTCACGTTGCTTAAACCCATAAGAATTTCTTTCTTTCTGCTAACACAAAGAACACAGACAATGGGAAATTTAGCAAAATGGTCATGTAGCTTGTTTGACAATGACTTTGCTTTACTTAAACTAGGGATGTAACGATTAACCGCGAGCCGGTTGAAAATCGATTCAAATATGTGACGATTGAAATCGGTTGAGATTCTAAACAAATAGCGATTCAATTAGGTGTAGGAGTTTATATGAATGCATGTCTGAGGGGAACTTACTTTATATGAAGTTTATATGGTATTTTTTCTTTTCATCTTGCCATAAGTGCAACGCTGCATTGTTTAGAGCAGAAACCAAGGAAACGCTTTGAGCGCCACCTGCTGGCAGAGAGTGAATCTGCGGCTCGTTCAGCTCGTCTGCTGTTTCTGTTTCATGCAGATATTTTTTATGCATAGTTTCACAAAACTGAAGTCAAATCATTCTGTTTTTGCATCAGATTTCAAAATTATACAATCTAATTTAGATTAAAAGCTGCTCATGTTGCATGTATGCAGCATCTTTGTTTGGATCATGATTAAAATGCAGTGGTTGCCTCTAATTTGAAATGGAAAGAGCACAGACAAAGCCTTATTTTTTTATATGAAGAGATTTCTTTTATTTGTGTTACTTATTTTTTTGATTTGGGGCTTGTTTTAAAATTTCTATTTAGTTTTGTTATTTACATTCACATTATATTAAAATTGTGTTATTTAGCAGACGCTTTTATCCAAAGCTACTTACAAATGAGGACAACAGAAGCAATCAAAACCAACAAAAGATCAATAATTTACAAGTGCTATATTAGTATATTATTATAGTGTTATATTTCAATTTCACAAAGAAACGTGCAGCATTTTGTCCAAGCAATAATAAAAGGACACATTTATTTATAACTTGTCTTAAATCTCATTTTGTTAAAAAACAATCGTGAATTGAATCGAATCATGACTTGAGTGAATGGTCACATCCCTATTAAAGACCCTTCTATCAGTGGCGTAGCGTCTGGGTATGCAGGTGCATATGAGCCCGGGCAGTTTGGGGGCCCGCCGAGCTGGGGGGAACTTTTAATTGAAACGAGGGAGCGAATAGAGCCCTGCATGGGCCCGGCCCGGCCCTTGTCCAACAGCTTATGAGAATTCTCGGCCCGAGTCCGACTGGATCCCGTGTCTTTTCTCTCTCTCTCTCTTCCCCATTACACAGCTACTAAAATAGTTCCGTTTTGGTTTTTAATGGCAAAGTGGTCATATTTCTTTTTATTTCTTTATGAAGTTAATTTAGAAATATGTTTGTGACATTTTATGTTTGTTAAATTCATGTTTTTGTTTTTTAAAGGAACGACCAAGCGGCAGCAGCAGACAGTGAGTTGAGCATTATGTTTGATCAATTTAGTCTTCTCAAACCAACACGACTTGCCTAACATAAACAGACATAAAACACTTCATGCATTTCACAGTATTAATTTAAACATTTAACCTATAAATGAGTGCTGTTAGGCGCATATCCAAACGTTTGTGCAGAGAGTGGAAGCTAAAGCACACTTTGCAGGACATGGAGGCGTCCACGTGATCACTTGCATTTTTTTTTAATAACAGTGGAAACTTAAAAATACACCGTCATTTTTGACGGCGAGTCAGAATCATATCAACTTGGGCATTGGATGACCCCTTTAAACATGGCACAAAAATGCTGCCGTATAGGCTACTGAATGCAAACACAATTTTGGCACAGCAGCCCAAAAAGCAAACAAAAAAATAAATAAAAAACAAACAAAAAAAAGTAAAAAATAGTGAGGGGATATTTTAATTATTTGTTAATAAACTAATGTTTTCTGAGTCAATGTTGCAAAATGAATTTGACGAACCTGACTCGCTATCTCCTCATTGGACTTGCCTTTAGAGAGAAATGCATCTTTACGGATTACATAATGAAAGAGTTTTTGTTTTTGATTTGAATTATTTCGTTTTAAAATTGTAATTTAAAGCATTCTATAGATATATTTATCATCTCGGTGAAGAGCTCCTGCTCAAGACTAAGACGACAGAAAGTGCATCTTGTTTGTTTTCCTTATTTTACAAAAGCACAAGGTTTTGTTGATATTGTGAGTGCACACATGTGAAAATTCCACCTATAGACCTACCCCAACCCCGGGGCTGACTTGCTACACCACTGCATTCGATAATATCTATAATTAATTTAAATTAAAATATTTTAGCTTAAATTTCAAACTGCAATCTGACATAGTCATGACAGATAACTCAACCTCATTATCAAAAATGTAAAGACAGTAATCCAAGAACAACATGAGTGACTATTTTTAGGGAAAAAAAGCCTACATATAGTAAACAAACATTGGTAAGCAGAAGAAACATAAATAGAAGAATGAGGAATCATATTTCGGGAAGGCAGAACACTCACTGTACTGTCACTTCTTCAGTGTTTGGTGGTTTCCAGGGGTGTGAAGTAACGAATTACAAATACTCACGTTACAGTAATTAAGTAGTTTTTATCAGTAATTGTACTTTTTTGAGTAGTTTAAAAATTGTGTACTTTTACTTTTACTTGAGTACATTTTAAGTGATGTATCGGTACTTTTACTCCGCTATTTTCCTCCGTTTGTGGTTGTTACATGCTTATTTTAATTTGATTTTTATCCATCAACGTGATTGGCTAGAGAGATAGCAATAGGTCTCGTGACTTTCGTCAAATCAAATTGTGCATAGAAAACTTTAACCTCCAACTGTTTATCATGGCTGCTGGAAGTGCATTCTTCAAGCATCAATTCTGTCGCATCTTCCTCTAACTTAATATGTTAAGGTAAATTTCGGATTTCTGCTTACTAAATGATTTGTATATATGCTTGCCCATCTACACGGCCTGAAATTTGGTGTGAGGCTGCGTGTATTGCGTATAGTGTTATCTCCCGCAAGTGCCACGTTCGGTAAATTCCCTCACTTATGAGACAGCCTCGTCTCTCTCTCACGTGCGTTCCGCAGCAGTCACTTGGATAAGTCGTTGTTGCTTGTTGAACTTGTTGATTTTTGATGAGCTTGAGCACGTGTTACGCGCTGTGAAAAAGTGTGTTGGAAACACAAATTGAGGACCAACCCATCTACACGGCCTGAAATCTGGCGTGAGGTTGCGGGTATTGCATACAGTGTTAACTCCCGCAAGTGCCACGTTCTGTAAATTCCCCACTCACTTATGAGACAGCCTCGTCTCTCTCTCGCGTGCGTTCTGCAGCAGTCACTTGGATAAGTCGTTGTTGCTTGTTGAACTTGTTGATTTTTGATGAGCTTGAGCACGTGTTACGCGCTGTGAAAAAGTGTGTTGGAAACAAATTGAGGACCAATCTGCACCTTATTGATGACACGTGGCGTTGATATACTGCATCTTTGCCAGTGCGTGGTGTAATAAAACTGCAGCTCGTTAATAAACAGTTTTTTTTTATTTTTTATTTTTTATCCATTTTATACAATCCACCTTCATTTAGCAACTGCACTCGTGCATAGTTCAACACTTTGTTCCATTCAGTTGTGGATGCTGCTGATTCACCGAGACCGCCGTGGCTTAGCAAAGAGACGTGTGTGTGTGTGTGTGTAGAAAAGAGTAGCAAGAAAAGAGGTTTGGAGCCATGTTGAATGAACCACAGTTTTGCATGAATAATTTGGTTCATAATTGCTATTCTACTGTGAAGTAAAACTATCACACAAAGTAACTAATGTTTATCTCTAAACTAGCTGCCTTGAGATTAACATAATGGTCGAATTGATGAACAACTCCAGCCCAAATGAAACAGATGACTGCTACCCGTCTGCACATCCTGAAAAGATGGTATTCGTAGGCCTGCAACTAACTGTGATCCTGATCGGCATCCCGTCCAATGTCTTCTTCCTGTTTGTGTCGTATCGGCTTATCTGTCAGAAGAACGAGCTGGGCGTCTATCTGTTTAACCTGGCTCTCTCGGACCTCTTGTTTATCATGTGCTTACCAGTGTGGGTTCAATTCTGTCTTTACGATGTGTGGCCTCACGGCAAGACGATGTGTATTGTTTGTGTTTTCCTGCTCTTCACAAACTTCTACACCAGCGCTATGCTTCTGAGCTGCATCGCGGTGGATCGCTACTTAGCAATCGTTTACCCGCTCAAATTTTGCACTTTTAGAAAGCGCAAGACTGCAGTCAGCATGAGCATTGCTGCTTGGATTTTTACTATTGTATTCAATGCAATAACCGTGCATCCAGACAGTATCTACGATGTGGAAAACTCAATCTGCTTGGATTTATTTCCTTTGCCCCAAAGGCAAAGAATAGTCAACGTTGCTCGTTTTGTTGTAGGCTTCCTCATTCCTGCATTGGTTGTGGGTTTCTGTTATTGGCGGATATGTTCGGATGTGAAGAGAAACCAAACGCTTGGATCGATGGAGCGCCGGCATGTCTTCAGGCTTCTTGGATGCATTTTGTTGACCCTTTATTTGTGTTTTGGGCCTGTGCACATCATGATGGTTTTGAGGGTTTTGTTGGAGGATTGTCCATATCCCAACTGGCTCTTCTTCGGATATAAGGTCAGCGTCTTACTCTCGATGCTCAACTGCCTGGCTGATCCACTTCTGTACTGCTTCATGAGCAGAACGGGTCAAGCCAGCGCTTCAAATGTGTTACTCATCCTCAGGAGAACATGGAAGAAAGAGTGTCAAAAAGAGTGTCAAAAAGAGATGGAACAACAAAACAACCAAATCCTTGGAACTGGTACCATTCCAATCACAGAAGCACCCTTTAGGACTGAATTCAGCACTGACCACTAGTGAACTAGTGATGCTGATGTTTATATAAGCTATACTGTTCGGATGTGAAGAGAAACCAAACGCTTGGATCGATGGAGCGCCGGCATGTCTTCAGGCTTCTTGGATGCATTTTGTTGACCCTTTATTTGTGTTTTGGGCCTGTGCACATCATGATGGTTTTGAGGGTTTTGCTGGAGGATTGTCCATATCCCAACTGGCTCTTCTTCGGATATAAGGTCAGCGTTTTACTCTCGATGCTCAACTGCCTGGCTGATCCACTTCTGTACTGCTTCATGAGCAGAACGGGTCAAGCCAGCGCTTCAAATGTGTTACTCATCCTCAGGAGAACATGGAAGAAAGAGTGTCAAAAAGAGTGTCAAAAAGAGATGGAACAACAAAACAACCAAATCCTTGGAACTGGTACCATTCCAATCACAGAAGCACCCTTTAGGACTGAATTCAGCACTGACCACTAGTGATCGGATCATGCTGATGTTTATATAAGCTATACTGTTTTAAAAAGAGACTGGACTAAAACTAAGGAATGAAATAAAGCTTTACAACTTCACAAGCTGTACGTTCAAACACAAACTGTCTGCCTAAGCTCATTTGTCTAAAAAATTCAAACTAACTATTCCTTTATTAAAAATCACTGAAAGAAACGATAAGATATTTTTAATAAAGGAAAAGTTGACATTTAAACACAAAGACTGACCATGAACTGTATGTCTGCATCAAGACAATGTGCACTTACGAAAATCCTTCGTTTTTGAAAAATGAGAACAGTGTTTCATCAGAATTTCCTGTTGGTTTCATCTAGTGTAGGCACCAGGTGGCAAAGTTTCATTTTCACAACCTCTTCTTCCCTAATATTTTGCTCAAAATAGTATAAATATCTGAAGTGCAACATTAAATACTGTATATATTGAGTGTGATATCTTATACAAGGCTGTGTCCAACTTTGATAGCAATATTGCCTTGCTTTTTCAATAATACAATTTCCTATACTAATGCGTACTGTTTATGACCAAAAACTACACAACTGTTTAAAGGTGTGGGGTATATGCAATATTTAACATTGATACACGATATGAGTGTTCATGTGTGTGAATAGAGTTTGGAGTAGACGTCACAGTTAGATAACTTGCAGTTGCGTGTGCATAGTGGTGGCACAAAAACACTGGTAACAAGTGGAAGGAAATGGGTAAATCCATGGAATAAGAGAAACTAATTTTTTGTGCCTTTGGATGTAATTTGAATATATTAAAACGCATTGAATAATACCTTGCTTGTATGTATTGCATTTAAATGTGAATATGTCTATGAAATTGTATTATTGTACCCCCTTGGCCCTAATCAACATTCATAAATCTTCCCATCTTCTGCTTTCATGCCAGTGTTCTTTGGTCATCTCAATCGTCTTGTAAACCAAAAGCTTTCGTCATCAGCGTCTTCTGGCATTGAAACCTCCACCCACATCCTTCACCTCATTCCTGACAACATCATTGATCAGCCCCGTGATGGGAAACATTATCTAACTGGATGGTCTTTGCTCGTTTAACCTAAACACGTCTGCGAGTTCACTAGCGGTGCTTTTATTGATAGACGTAAATCCGATTCCTAGTTCCGCTCGGCTCATCCTGTAGATGCTCAACTCGATGCGTCAGCAGACATCTGGGGTTTTGAGACCATTTCGATACCTTCATACCCTTGATGTGCCCTTAGTGAGACGTAACTTGATTACAAAAGCTTCAGAGCATCAATATCATCCATCATTCATCATTCTGTCAGGTTCCTACACATGCCTTGATATTGCAAAACATAATTATAGTGCAATCTAACTGACATTAGAATTATTTTTTCTTTAAAGATTTTTCACTTAAAAATTGCTCCAGAATTATACAAATAGTTACAAAGAAATGGCAAGTAACACACTGAATTAAGCATGACATTTTGAAGTAGAAAGACCAAAATTGTCTTGTAATTATTTCAAGGTATTTTCTTGTAAAATGTACTCCAATCATCTTTTTTGCAGTGCATAAATGATGTTATCAAAAAAGCAATGCTATCTGACGCAAGTATCTCATACGCAAACAACACAGACATCCACAAACCGACCCAAGCACCATCAGATAAACACAGCCATAAATAATAGTAAAAGTGCCAGATGCTCTCTTTCTGTTCTTAGCCAGAATAAGCTTTCATTCAAATATAAATATAATGAACGCACACACAAAACTGGTTGCTGATCTTTGTTTAACAGGAAATAGTCAAATGCTTTCAAATGTGTGCAAATAAATGCAAATGAAGAAATACTATACTTTAGACCTATAGCTCTGGATGAGGAGAATAAATGTTTAAATTAAGTGTTATTTTATGCGTTTTTAGTGAAGGTTTGTGTGTGTGTGTGTGTGTGTGTTTATGTGGTTTATGAGGACACACATTTGTATAATAACATGGGTATGACATAGGTATTACAACGAGAAGGTGATTTATGAGGACATTTTCAGTGTCCCCGTAATTCAAAAGGCTTATAAATAATTCAGAATGAGTTTTTTTGAAAATCTAAAAATGCAGAAAGTTTCCTGTGAGGGGTAGGTTTAGGGGTAGGGTTGGTGTAGGGCAATAGAAAATACGGTTTGTACAGTATAAAAAAGTGTATGATGTGTTTGATGTGTAATGTTTCACATTTAAAAGAGTTTCAGTTTTGTTAGTGTGTTTGTGGTTATTGAGCGGAAGAGTAGCTTGTTGTTTGGTTGTGTTTGGCCACATAGATATATATATTGTTTTGACTCTTTGATCAATGACTGTGCTATTGCCATGCAGTGTAACAAGTGATATCTTGCTTGTTCATTAAATGTACAAACTTACAATTAGCATGTGCTATATTAGCTGTTGGTTTCAGGGTTGTTATTGTTAACTAAAACGGGAACTAAAATTAAAACCATAAAAAGCTTCCTTAAAAAAAATGTAACTAAAATAAAATTAAACTTTTGTTTTTATTCATTTCCTTTCAGTTTTATACATGAGAAACAAAAACTACTAAAAATGGCAAAACACAACAAAATTACTAAAACTTTAACATTAAAATATTAATTTTATTTTCATTTAAAATTCAACAACAACACAAAAACTGTAATAGTATGTAAATTATGCAACAATAACACTGTTTTTACTGAAATAAATAAGATGAATTGCTTCCAGGGCCACAGCTAAATTAGTTGGAAGTTTCCTTTGAGTAATCAACTTAAAATTGGCGACGACCTCTCCCCCTCCGCCGCCTCCGGTCTTCGAGATCTCCACCCGGAACCGCTTCGCTCCCCTCCGCGAGACGGAACGCGACGCTGTGATCATCGGAGACTCCATCGTCCGGCACGTCCGTGCTACGTTAGCAATTAATGCTGTTCAGTTGCTTTGTCACAATCTGTATTGTTAAAAGCGCTATATAAATAAAGGTGACTTGACTTGACTTAAAAATGTGTGTTTTTGCTACAAATTATTACATTCCTCTAACTCAATAGTTTGTTGGTGGGACATAATTTCATTAGAGGTTGTCTTAAATCAAAAAGATTGATGCAAACTGTCATTTCTTTTAAGCCAAAACATTTTTTAGACTGCATTAAAACACTGAACATTTGAATGAACATGAATAGGTCAAATTACACATTGACTAACTTCCCTTTTGTTTTTCAGTTTTGCCCTTAAAATATTGTTTTCCCTCGTTAATATAGACATGAATCTTCCATGACAGGTGTAAGATTGCTGATCTTTCTTAGTTACTCAGTCAGAAGTTGACTCTAAATCTGATTTTCATTCATTGTCTGACAACAAAACAATATTATATTGTTTCCATGTTTTCAGTAAATAAATAAACAACACAAATACAACATATTTTCACATTTTTGAATAACGGTAAAGACACTAAATAACACACATGTGCATATGGGAAAAATATGTGGTGACAAACACGACACAAATATCTTTTCATTTTTATCATTTTCATCAATCTTTTCATCTCGTCATTTTTACAAGTTATTGTTTTTAATACGTTTATATTTTTATTCATATTTATTTCAGTTTTTGTTTTAGTTACTTTAGTACATCAAGTTAAACTAAAAATGAGAAATGTTGCTTTGGCTTAGATAAAACAAAGATGAAATATTTTTGGTTACATTTTATTTCAAGTAACATCTTTTTTTGAAATGTGGCTTTAGTTTTAGTTTACTGTAATAACCAAGGTGACAACTTTGTTCTGCACAAAATGTTTGTCCAAAAAATGTCTAGTGTGAGAAAATGTTCAAAAACAAAGATGCAAAAAGGAAAGAGAGGAGGAGGAAGATAATCCAAGTTTGGCTGTTTGGCCAGAGTTTTGCAAGTGTGGTGGTGTTACTCGTGCTCATCGGATGGGGAAATTATGACATGGGGAAAAATTGTGGTGGAATATGCAAATTATTTAGCAAATGTAACTAGCCAGGCAGACACTGAATCCGTTCAACCTTTGATATCAATGCCCATTTCAGCAACTTTGTATTTTCCATATAGTGAGTCTATCATAATGGGAAAAAAACTGTGGTCTACTATATCCTCAGAAGATTTAAAAAGCATCAAGGACCAAAAGCAGATAACTTTTAATTTCCACTGATTCCTTACATGACCACTTGTGTTTTGCTTATAATTTGTTGCTTTGTATAAAAGTATGAATGAAATGACTTAATATAAATGTAAAAGACTATATGCATTATTTGTTTAAAGCTGATGATATCCGTCAGAATAAAGCCAACACTGTCTGTCTCTAAAGTGCACAGCGTGCAATGAACGACAGTTTCCAGGGAAACCGCTCTACACAAACACTACATGTCTTTCATGTTTAATAAATCTAACAAACTCTTAAAGGTGGGGTAAGCGATTTTTCAAAAATGCTTTCGAAAACTGATTCGGGCCGAATAGCAAAACAAACTTGTAGCCAATCAGCAGTAAGGGGCGTGTCTACTCATGATGTGGAGGAGAGAGAGTTCAGTGCA